TATTAGATAAACAGTAATTTTTTTTTTTAGTTGTGGGGAAGAAATCAACCTGATTTTGTCTAACTATAATTTACGATTTGGATGAAAGTTAATATAAATATAAACAATTTAATAACGTTAAAAGTTAACGTTTTTGGGTCTCTCACGTAAGTTGACTTTTTGGTTTCGGAAAAAAAAAACATCATTTCGAACCACTCAATTATCGACTGATTTAATTAATTAATTAAATTAATATTAATGTTTCTCAACTCGCCAACCTCCATTGATACCAAACAAAGAAAATTTGTTTTAACGTATAAATTATTATGTTATTTGGAATTCTAAACCATCACAATAAAAATCATTTAATGTAAAAATTTCATTGAAAGGATAAAAAAAATAGAGGATCTTCCTCTTATCTTATTTTTAAATTAAGAAATAAAAAATTCATGTTCTAAAGGAAAAATGGAAAAACTAAAAATTCTGCAACACAGAAAAAAAAATAACCCTTGACTTTCAGCCAAAGACTTGAATTATTCACAATGGTAATGGAGACACAAACTTGAAGTGTGAAAGAGAAAAATGTTACTTAAGCCGCGATAATATTCATGCAATGCGATTCTTTTGATAAGCCTTTTGCGGAAGGATTTTCGCTGTCATAATCCAATTGATGATATAATTTTTTGTTACCTAGAATAATTTTAAGAACCAAAAGATACAGAATCCGTTCTCCTAAATCCTGTGCGACCCTGAAAGATAAGATAACAAATTTCCTACCATAACTAACCTTATTTTTCTTTTAGAATGCCGTTTCTTCCCGATTCAGTTGTCGCACGACATATTATGAGGGGACTTTTTGAACACAATTTTGTTTACTATTGTTTTTAAAATTCTCCTTGGAAAGATAAAAAATTAATTATTATTATTATTTAGTTGTAAGTTACAATGAACGAACATCGCATCGAAATTTGTTTACCTGTAACATGTAACTTCTTGGCTTACTTTTTTTTTCTTTCTCATTTTCAACGGGATTTGCTAAGCCTATTTTTTTTTGAAATAGCAATTTTTTTTGATAAAATTAATTACCCTCGGGAATAGCCATGAAAACAAACCAGTATAGTTGGTATTACAAGTTGATGTAATCACACGAAAAAGAAATTGCGGAGAAACTTCAAGGTCTCTTCCAAACATTAATCCGTAATTAAATTATTAATTTGTTCAATACCAAAAAAAAAAAATTAGATATAAAAGGGTAGGGGTATCATTTCCATTCTTTCCATGCCGTATATCACTGCACTACCCAAACATTTAATTTATGATAACATTTTGTGACATGAATGGAAGACGGCGTTTTTCCTAAAAAAAAGATAGGGATATTTTATTTTTATTTTTATATATTTTTTTTTTTAAAAAGAAAAACTTTTTTTTTCATGAAACAAAGAGGGGCGCTTACCGCAGAAAACAGGTTAAACAGACTATCTAAAAACGGGGCGAAATGAAACAAAGGGTAATACGGCTGTATTCATGATCCAATTTTTAATTTAAAGTCTTGGTTGAATACTGGAATTAGCGATCGTTTGCTCCCACAAAAAAATTTCATGTAACCATTCTTGTTTTAAAAATAAACCACTTTTTTATTTTTATTATTATCCTTTGGCTAATTTGAGATAAAACTTTGTGGATAAAAAAAAAAAAACCTTAATTGATATGTAAAGGAAACAAACAAGGGTGCGCCGATTTTCTTGTTTATGAATTTTTTTTTTGAAAAAAATAAAAAAAAATAATAATTGAAAAAATTTTTTTCATTTTTTTTTTTCAAGGATGAATTTTCTTGTTAAACATTCAATGTTAAACACTGGAATGCAAAGGGAAATGGAAAGGTTACACCACAGATTGACGATTTTTTGTGAATTCTTTATAACATTCCTAATAACAAATCCACCTACCAAAAACGAAATTTGGAAATACAATGTGTTTGTCACTCACATTTTTCAACAATGTGACAGAAAATTTAAAGTTTTTTTTTAGGAAAAAAAAAAAAAAAAAAAAAACCTAAAATATTTATTTTCGATTTTCTGAAGGGAAAAAAGAAAATAATAATTTTTTTTCTTTAACCTTCCATTTTAGAATTGTTTGAACACAAAGAAAAAAAAATCACGTTGGGGCAAAAAAAAAAAACAAAAATTATTCCACGTCTGAAAATAGAAATATTAAATGATTGAGGCCGGTGCGTTTCACTTAATATTGTGCGTCTATTAGAACACAGCATGAAACAAACAAGCACGTTCGTCATTAGCACATTTTAAATAATACATGATGTATCAACACTTGTCCGTCGCGCGCAATTTTTTTTATTTTATTTTATTTTATTTTTTAATAATTTGACGTGTTCATTCAAAAAAAAATAAAATAAAATAAAATGTTTCATGCTCCTTAAAATGACGATTGATGTATTGATGTGCACGATATCCTTCAAAGGCTTCGGATTGACCTCCATGTAATTTTTAATTCTTTACTAATGAGAAAAAAACCTGTTTTTTAAAAAAAAATGTCGGTGCTACCCATTAATAATATACTTAATTTCTCCAAATTCGGCTAGCTATTCTCACCTTTTTTTTTTCTTTTATTGAAAAAAAATGACGAGACAAAGAATGATTGTGCACGTAACATAAGAACACAATATACCAAAGTAGAATGCATAGAATGTCAATCAAAAAAAATAAGTTGTTGCCACGCACGGAAATTTCTGCATGAAATGAAAAAAAAAAGATATTTTTGTATTCTTATTTGCAAACTCACGAATTACTACAAGGATTTGGTATCGGATGTTCCAATTCAGCTGTCAAATAAAGTTAAAAGGTTAAACCATGATTCTAAAAGTAAAAAGGTGTTTTTGTGTAATGTGTGTCATGAACAAAACAATAAAAAAACTATTTATACAATTGGGATGGGATGTCCCCTTAACATCACCGTCGATTGTCACCTATCCCCCCCACACGTGGTATCGTAATAATGTGATACCGCAGCCCTAATTTTTTGAATAGGTTGGACGCTAACCAAATTCAGGACAAAAGGCGTATTTTTTTTCTCGTTTAATGCTCAATGTCGCCAAATGCCGAAATGTAGTGAACTATATATTTTATTTTTTTCATTCACATGTGGGGTGGTTGGATGAGTTCAAAAAAAGCAAAAATCCTATTTTTTTTGGTGTTTCCTTGTTATCTTACAATTGATGCATCCTGACGTACTATACCAAATTCATCTGCAACAGAATCTTATCAAGAGGTACAAAAATTGATTTATGCAACATGATAAGATAACGAGGGAATGTCGATATCAAAATAATGGTTGGATTTGTTTGTTTTTTTTCATGAATTAATTGTACCAATCTTTCGATGAATATGGCAAATTTTGTTATCTTTGCGGGTTTTACTCGGGATTGTTTAGATTTCATGAAAATCATTAACAATTATGAATTAAAGTAATCATGAAAAATTTTTTTTAGAGTATTTTTTTTTTCGTTAATGTTAAAATTATGTCACATATTTTATTAATCTAGACAAAGAAAAAAAGAACCAACCAACAACGCCCACGCTTGTTTATCAAAACAAAAAATACACGCATGTTATCACAAACGTCAAATATATCATATCAGATCGATCGTTATCTTATCTTTAGGTGCAAAATGATACCCAAATATTCCAATTAAAGTAATTAAAGTTTATTGAGAAACATTAAAACAGATGTCGAATCGTTTATATAAATTAATTTATTTCCATTAATGCAAGCACAAAAATGTACCTTTGTTTAAGCACCAGAAAATCTGTACAAACAGATAACGATGTTTACGTTATTTATTAATTGGTTTAAAAAAATTTTTTTCTTTTTAAAACTTTAAATGACCCCTTAACTAATTCGTAAGCACAACATTAGCATATAACTATGAAATCTCACGGCATTTAGCGAATATAAAATTAAATCACGACAGAAATTAGTTTAGGGTTATAAAAGTGAAGAACGAATGAATATCGGGATATCATGCCGCATGCTGACCCTTCTTGAATTCGATCATTAGTTTCGAAGATGTAAATCTAGAAGAATAATTAAAATATAACCATACATAACCGTCTTTGAGTAAATGTGTAATATGTATGTTACCGCAACACACCGCGAAAATGTTATTTTGAGTTTAGGAGTCGTGACTTTTCATTTACGCCGATACGTATAGAATCTTGGAAGTTACATTCTTTGCATTTTCGGGAATATCAAACCTTTCATTAAATTTATCTTTATGATAACTTATTTATTGGGAACTTTGATTCTATATAAAAAAAAATTTTTTCCGAAATGGAATTTGTATTTATATTCAAAGTCAACCAATTAAAGAGATCAGGATTAAACGATGCGATAACTTTACAGTATGTGATTTTGAGAAAGGAGTGGTAAGATGTTAATCTATCAACAAAGATACCAGGAAAAAAAAGATCATATTTGATCGCAAAAAAAAAAAGATTTTTATGGCGCGAAAATTTGCCAAAATTGTATGAAATTTCATGTAAATTCCGTGGATTCAAGCAACTGCACGATTAACGAATACCGGACACATGCGTTACATGTGATTATATGTTACGTTTAAATAAATAATAATACATACGGAATAAATTTTATTTATTTTGGGAGTACATTAAGAGAGATAATTAAATAGTTGTATGTAAAGTGACTAATCACGTGATTTAATCAGAGAATTTTCATAAAATTTGTAAATTTTGATCAGCGTTCATAACTCTCGGTCAAAGGCTTAACGCGTGATTCATACCCGATTTATGATAATTTCTTTGCCATTAAAGCAATCACTATTGAAACCAATATAACAATCATGGCATCAATAACGTATGCAGATATTGCAGAAGGTGTTGGTGTGGTTTCATTTTGTTGTTGTTGCTGTGTTTGACGCTGTGGTGGTAGATGTTGTGGTTGATGTTGTTGATCATTATTAGATGAAGGGGTATCTTCCGAGTTAATTATTTCGGGTTGCGAATGTGATGAATTTCCATTTTTGCTGGAATTGGCTTGAGTTGACTTCTTTTGTTCTTCATATACAAAAGAAAATTGAGGCACATCTGAATCGTTATTAACTACACTTTTATTATTGTCATCTGGCAGAGTCTCGATATTGGTCAAGCCACATGTGATACATTTCCAATTCCTAGACCTTTGTGCTAAAATTTTTCTCTCTGATTCAGAGTAATCGATACCACCAATCGCTCCATTCGATTTCGTTGTCATAAATCCAAGTAATCCTAAAAGGACGGTACGGATTCCCCAAGCAGGTAGCCAATATTCCGGATGATATCCGGTAATACTCAAACAAATTTTCTTGTTAAGTTCAAATCGTCCATTTGGAGTCATCAACATAAGATTTGGTGGTTTGAATGGATATTCTGATGGTAAGAGAATACGTCCATGATATCTTCCACCTTCAAATTCTGTACCATCGGGTCCACGGATAACAAAATGCCATTCAAAAAGATTTTCCTAAAATTTAATTTTTAAAAAATCGACATATTTACGTTGGTTGAATGAGAGAGTAATCATCGAAACCTACCTCAAGGGGTTGAGCATTATAATCACTACATTTATCTTGTTGTAATTCGCGAGCTTCTTGCAAAAGCCTCTTAACGGCTATATAAGGATGTTAGTCATGGTGTTCAGTGTTTAAATAATATCACACATTAACCATGTAATTTTAGGTCAAAGATTTATATTTACCTGGACTTCTTAAATTATAAGAGACTGCAGTCGCCATTTTAGGTTTAAATACTTTGTTTTATAGAGGAAGAAAAAATCAGAATTGTGGAAGCCAAGACTTTTTGAAATCTAAAATCACTATTCATAAAGAGAATACTTGACCCATTATGATTGGTGGAATGTACGTAAGCCCGGTTCCAAGAATGTAAATCATATGATCAACATGCGACTAAAACCATTTATTATGTAATTCTTGTTTCATTTATTTGTTATTTGCAGGTAGCAGGTATTTATTGCTTACACTTGTGGAGGGTTTTTTTTTTTTAAACGATTTCCGAATAAGTAAACAAATCATTATGAAGATCAGTGATTTCCACTCCCTTTCTTTTTTTAAAATATGACAACTACAAACGAGGCAATTTTTGATTGGAAAATCTCAGAATTTTTAAATACAAAAGGTAAAAGACCTCCATATATTATCATCATATTAAATCAACCAATTTTACGTCGAAATATATTTCAAATATTGTGGGAAAACGGTACGTAAATACATTGGTGAGATTTCCCTTTACGATTCATGTTAAAGTAAAAATTTTTTTATTGTCCATTATCATAAGCCGAATTAAAAATTTGTGCGGATGGTGGTGCGAACCAATTATTTGATGCTTTTAAAGGGAATCAAGAAAGATATATTCCTGATTATATTAGAGGAGATTTGGATTCATTGAGAGATGACGTTCGAAACTATTATCATTCCAAAGGTACAGAAATCCAATGCGAAATTGAACAAGAATCTACAGACTTCATGAAATGCATTAATCTTGTTCGTATCAAGGAAAAGGCAACGATCTCAAAGTATGATGTGTTGGCAATTGGATCCTCTGGAGGCAGATTGGATCATATAATGTCAAACATTCATTATCTATATAAACTTAGAGATGAAAGGAAAATTTTTCTATTATCCGATAAAAATATGAGTTTTTTGCTTCAAAAGGTAAGTAATATAAAAGGTTTGGGAGGGGGTTTTTTTTGTTGTTGATAAGAGGAATTTCATAAAATTTCATTATCATCATCATTAATTATTAGGGGAAGCATAATATTTTATGTGACAGAGAAATAGAAGGACCATCTTGTGGAATTTTGCCAATTGGAGTTCAAAGAGCTACTTTGACGACAACTGGGTTGAAATGGAATATGAGTGCGTATCATTTATAAATAATTTCTTTATTAAAACTTAGTACGATCAATTTTCGTAATAACCTTTTTTCTTTTTCTTTAGCGAATTTTACATCAGCGTTCGGGGATACGATTAGCACTTCAAATGTTTTGATAAATGACATTATTACAATCGAAACTGATACTCCGGTTATCTGGACCGTAGAATTACAAATATGATTTCAAATCACTGTTGAGGCTCAATTAGTTTCTAAATCAAATAAAAAATTTTAAAAATTCGATTTTCCTTTCCAATTTATTTATTTCAACACGATAGAAATGGTTTCATAAAAAAACATACCAACTCTCCCTGTTTACCACTTTCCCATTTTGCGAATTTGATTCCTTGCTCGTCCCTTCTTTGTGCTATCAACCGTTGTTCTTCTTTAAGTGCATTTCGAACCGCACGAGCACAGATCTGAGTATATTTGAGGTAACTACGACAGAACAGAACAATAAAAAGCAGGACAATAAGTCAGTCTATTATATATTAAGGATTCGTTTTAGAAAATTTCTCACATACCTAATGCCAGCGGCTTTCCAGGAAAAGGCCATTACGATTGTTTTGCGCAAAGTTTATTTTATATTTTATTATTTTTTTTTTAAATAAAAAAAAAAAAATATAGAAAAATTTTTGTTATCGACCAATCTTCAATAACCCCATGTTACTTTCTAATCGAGTCAAATCGGTTGTACTACGTTATTATCATCACGTGAAAAAACATGATTTAATGCTGCGGAAGAACTTAATCATCAATTCAAACGTTTGTTATTGTGCTTATTTAATATTAATGATCAGAAGAATGCCCTTTTTTAAATCTAACAATGAACTTTAATCAAAAATTCGGTTTGATTGTATTACATAATAGGAAGCAAGATGAATAATTGAACGAAAAAAAATATTACATTGTATATTTATACTTAATTGGCGTTAGAATCTTGCATGTCGAAAGGGAAAAAAAAAATTTTTTTAAATCGATTGCGCCAAAGTCTAAAACCACATGGAACCTTGATTTTTTAAAACAATAGAAGTTAACAAAAGCATTCTAATTAAGGTAAATCGATAAATCACATAAATTACCAAATCCCTGGGTATTATAAAAACCGGAATCTTGAAAAAAAAAAAAAATAAGCTCAAAAGTTAAATTTCCGACTTGCCTTTTGTTTTTTCAAGATTTCCATTGCGCTTTTGTTTTTTTCAGTTGCATAAACAGATCAAAGACGGAGAATTTTGTAACGAATAAAAATTTTTCCCCTTCAGATTCAGCTCTTCAATTGTCTCCAATTCAACTGTGATTTAATGATTTTAAAATGATGGTGATATCTAATTCTTATCAATTATCCGACATCACATCACATCAAAAAAAAAAAAAATTTTTTTTTTATTTCTTTGATTCCTTTTTTTTTTTATAAATCGAGATCTAAATTTTTTTTTTTAAAAAAAAAAACACGCGAATCTATAATTTGATTGATGAACACTTATTTGAATATTCTTTTCCATTTAAGGATTCTTGAAAATAGTAAAAGTAATTGAGCCTTTTTAAGGGTTGATTGAATTAAATTTCCCCATATATGTGAATTCGATCGTATCTCTCATTTTTTTTTTGATTATCGCGTCCAATTCGATCAACTGATGATGCGCGGAATTTGAACGAGTTGCACAGAACTGCGCCGGACACTTGAACAATTATAGTAAATAATTAATAATTTTGGGTAATAAAATTTCTGACGTGTTTGAAGTTGTTACTTTTTTTAAAATTTGATCGATCGATTAAAAAACAGGTTCGTAAGCAAGAGTGCATTGCAAAATTATCTCGCGTATTTGGAGATTCGCGTTTGATGGTACCTAAAAAAGTGTGACAAATTAACGGATATTTTTTTTACGGAAATATATTAAAGTTCTGTCCAATGTAATCGATATTTTAAAATATAAAAACTGTCAAAAAAAATTACACGCGTATCAACTTAAATAAAATTCTAATGAAACACAAAGTTTTTGACCGTGAGAACGTCGCGTTTTAATATTTGTTGGAATATAGAATCAATTGACACCAAATAAAATACTTTCCTTTGATTAAAACAACGATATTTAATGAATTTTTACTCGATATAACCCAAATATTCCCTAGAAAACGACCATTATAAAAAGTCTTCATTCTTTATTTAATATAAAAAGGATAAATTTGTATGTGCTTGAAAAAAATGACTAATAAAACCTAAAAGAAAAAAAATTTCAAGTAATAAACTCCGACACAACACGAGGAAAATGTACAATTAAATTTTTTTTGATTTTTTTTTTTGATGTTTGAAAAAGTTTTTTTTTTTTTTTCGTGCGTGTCGTTCCTTATATATAATAAAATTCTTAAGAAATCTCTCCTTTATATAGGAATGGGAGATTAGGAAGCGAAATGATGAAAAAAATTTTTTTTAAAATAAAACGGGATTAAAGAAAAGGAGAAAAACTTTACAAGAAATGAAAGGATGCTATACAAAAAAAAATTACAAAAAAATATAAGAAAATAAAATAAAATGTTTTTTTTTAAAAAAAAAAAAATAGGGATAAAACGCTATAATATCTTTACAATTAAAAGTATTTTGTGACAATACAAGCGGAAAGGAAAAGAGAAAAAAAAATAACTATATTACACGAAAATACTCACTACTACCACTTATAAGTCTTTTTATTTTATTTTATTTATTTATTTTTTTTTTTTTTAAAAAAAAAAAAGGTTAATCCCTTTTTAAATTTATATTATTATTCCGTAGTTTATATATTATTACCTAAACCCACCAAAGTTTTTTTTTTTTTTATTATTATAATTATTTTTTTTTTTTTTTTTTTTTTTAATATGAATTTAATTTTAATTTTTTTTCTTCAATTACTCAATAATTAAAGTGGATTTTCAATTCCCTCCCCACGTATCCACAGGTCTTACTAGATAAGGATCGTACACGAATGGACTAGAAGGCATTGAGACTGTAGGATACGCTTCAGTCTTTATCCACGATGAATAATACGATGAGTAATTTGAATTATAAAGACCACTCGTACCGCCATTGCCGTGATTGACGATTGTAGCGTTGTTACTGGTATTAGGAGAACTAAGAGGAGGCGTTACAGGCGCGTTATTGTTACTTATACTTGCGGTACTGGTAGGAGAGGCAATAGCGGGAAGTGTGGGAGATGGAGAAGACGCTAGATGTTCATGCTGATTTGATTGAGAGTGTGCGGAGTTGGTTGTAGGTGAGTGGGCAGAAGAATTGTATAATTCGGGGAGGGAAGGTGATAAATCATGATATGGAGTTGTATATAAAGGTACGTGGCTATTCGTGTTGATAGGATGGGTGGCAGAATCATTACCGGTGGCAGTGGCAGTTGCATAAAACATGTCGCTACCTGTTTCTGCATGAGGGTTATTCGACTGCGCTTGATGATTGATTGAAGCCAAATTTCCCGTGGTGGATTGACTTCCATTTCCATGCGAATGATTTGAATTTGACGATGAATACGAGGAAAATTGATAGTCAGACCAGCTTCCATTAGGTTGAGAATTCCCACCGCTATGTGGAGGCGAATGATAATAATTATTATACTCGTTTTGATTAGAACCTATACTTGGTATTAAAGGTTGCGAGGAAGCTAACAATCTTGGTGGAACCGAAGTATTAACGTGAGGTGTAAGAGGAGGAAATTCAAAAGAAGATTGACGATTCGCATAAGTCCTCAAAGGTGGAATCGGTAAAGTATGAGATCCATCAGGGCCACTTGAGACAGGATGACCGTAAGATGTATAATGAGAATTGGATGGATGCATAGCCGAAGGATAACCCGAAGAGGTGGTTGTTCCATTCGAATATGTTGAAGAACGATACAAGTCAACACCAGATTGGTTCGAAGGATCCATTTCAATCTTTATGCGAGATGAATGGGGATAGTCCATATTTGTTAATCGTGATGGGCTTACAGTGCCGGGTTTAGGAAGGATAGCATGTGGAGAGGATACCGAGGATTGTTTTGAACCATAAGTTAACCCTTCCAATTCTGCAATGAAGATGGAATGATCAGTGGAAGGAAAGTTCCTCGTCAGTGATGAACCAACGTGCATATTTATGGGAGCTGTCACAGTTGAAACAACCGTACTTGGTGAGTTTTGTTCACCTTGTTCGTATGTCGACTCTATCACGGGCGGTATCCTAAAGTTTTGCTTTAATAAGAATTCGGGAGAAATCTCTAGAATGGCCAAGTTTGGTATGGAGGAAGGAGTCTTGAGTTTACAGGCCAAGACATCTTCTTTTGTATAATAGCTGATCATGTGTTGGCTGACGCCATTAACCATAATTGACATTGTTTTTTTGATCAAACCACCCTTCTTAAATCGGTAAGAGTTTGTCAAACTTCCAACCAAGGCGCGTTCTTTATTCTTTTCGGCCTGAGATTCCATATCGGTACTATTGCTTCTTTGACGTTCTATCGGACTCGAATCTTTTTTACCTGTCGGGGCTCTTTTATCAAGTTCACGATAGATAAGAAAATTTCCGAGGATTCGTGAAGGACTCCAAACTAAACCGTCGGTCCAACGTTTTATTCCAGATTCGCGTTCATCAAAAACGAATACACTTCCTGAAGTTACGATTTTTCGTTCTTTTTCCTGAAGACGTCGGCATATCCTTGGAAGTACACCTCGTCGACAAGCTTCGAATATGAGTAAAGTATCTTGTGTCGTTTCAATATAACCTCGAAAAGTCGCTTCGATGCTCATAGCTAACTATATATATTTTTTTTTTGTTTTGATACTAAACTTTTCAAAAGAAAAACAAAATATTGTTTAATTAAGAAAATAATTTCGAGAAAAGTTATCGGTATTCCTGTTTTTCATTACCCGAAGGTGCAAACTTACATCAAGGACGGAAGAAAAGAAAAGAAACTTTTTTTCCTGACGCGACTTGAAAGTAAGTATAATTTTATACAAACGAAATAAATTTAATTCTTATATATATAAATACGCTGTTATATATATATCTCTAAATTTTTTTTTTTTTTTTTTGGATTTTATCAAGAAAGAAAATTATCGATTTTTTTGAGGTTGGGTTGTTCCGA